CAGTAGGCACATGGCTGTAACACTCCTGTTGCCCACCTGAAGCCTACAAGTAGAAAAACAGATACAGATAACAAATGAGTGGTCAGCAGCAGCCACATGTGGACAGCCAGAAGCATGAGAAAGGTCCCTTTGGTCAGTGGCAGCCACAAAGGCCCAGGCTTCAGGGAGACCCCAGTTGGTGCCCTTGGGGTCACCTGCCTGGTTTCAGTAATAAATAACATGAGGACCCAAAAACCAAACCAAAACAAAAAATATAACCAGTATCTTTTGGGGTAGGTGGTGGGGGACTGTTTAAATTATCGGCCTTCCCTGGGCCACTAGGTGGTTGCTGGCGCAGGCTGGGCGGCAGTCACCGGCATGTGTGTAGCTCCACCAGCCGCTGGCACTGCCGGCACTTGACAAAGCAGCACCAGTGGAATTTGCAGCTGCAGCGCTCAGCCAGCTCCACCTGTGCTGTGTGGAAGCCGCGGCCACAGCACAGCAGCTCACAGCCGTCAATGGCCTTGGACGTCTTGTTGCATGTGCGGCCCCTTGTGCCCAGCACGCCGCTGCGCATGTCCTGCTCGCAGAAGTCGGGGCTGGGCTCCAAGTACACCAGGTCCTCATCTGTATGTGGCTTGAACTGTGCATTGCGCGGCACCAGCGCCCTGGAGGACCCCACACGGCGTGGCTCCACCTCGGTGGCGCCATCAAACTTTTCCTTCAGTGCGTGGCCCACCTGACGGAAGGGTGGCACGGCTCGCCAGCATGTCTTTACCTCGCAGGAGCCCGATACCCCATGGCACTTGCACTCCACCCGCATATGTGTCAGGATGGCCTGCAGGGACAGGGAGGAAATGGGCCATCAGGAGATGCCGGAGGTGGCTGGGGAGGGACCGCTGGGGCTAGACGGTGGGGGCCTGGGTGGGGGCATGCCACAGAATTGCAGAAAATGTACTATCGTGCTTCCTCTGTATTAAGCACCGACGGTATGTCGTGGTAAGCTGGTAAGCTGTGTTGACTGAGGACTGTCGAAGATATTGTCCCTGCCTTTGGAGCACTTGCAGTTGATGGAGGAGAGACATTTTAAAACTCAGTGTTGTGAAACTGACAAGTGACATGATGGGGAAGGACATGGTTGCACTGAATCTGCACAGGAACCTTGAAGGGCAGATATTGAGAAGGCAGATGGTATCATAGTTAAGCACGTGATCTTCATGGTGACGCAGAAGGGTTCAAGTCCTAGCTCTGCTGCCTGTTAGGGGTGTGTATGTGTGTGACGGAAGGATGGAGACCCATAAATATGCATGGGTCGGGGTGCTGTGTTGGGGGTTGTGTGTGCTGTGTTGGAGGGGCACTCATTGTCCTGTGACACCTGCTCCCATTTGTTTCTCCGTCCTGCCATCTTGTACCCCACCGGCCAACAGGAGGTGCCTAGTGCTGGTGAGAGCCTGAACAATGCTTGCTGGGCAGCGTGTGGCTGGGAGAGTGTTTCAGGGACCTTTCCGAGCCCGCCTTCGCCCCGCTGGCGATGGTGGTGGAAGAAGCGCCACATTACCTTCCTGCCAGCCTCGTTGTTGTGGAGGTTCATGAGGGCCCGGCTGGACGAGGCACCCTTGCTTCTCTCCCGCACGTCCACGAATGACTGGGAGAAGGCCACGCCGTAGGCGATATTGTCTGAGCATCCTGACCACTGGAAGCCTGAAGCGCGGTGGGCAGAGGGAGCTGCGGATGAGTGAGGGCCAGGCCCCTGCCCTCCCGCTCACGCTTCCCCGCTGCCCGCACTTACCCTGTGGGCTGACCCCGTGTACCGTCCGGTCACAGCCACACTTTTCTAGCTCCCCACTGCTGCACGCCCGTGTCACCGCAAAGGCCACACCTGCTGAAGAGATGGCGTACACGAAGGCCGCCTCCCGAGTCCCTGTGGGAGGCAGAGGGAGGCCAGGGCTGGGTCCCAGTGCTCCTCCCTGCACCCTTCTTTTCAGAGGGGGAGGGACCTGAACGATGGAGGACCGCAGAGAGAGCAGGGCAAGCTAACTCCCGTGGGCCAAGAGTGACACTGTGCTGGTGCTTATTGCCGCCACCCGGATGCTGAATACACATACTACATGCCAGGCACTGCCTTACGTCTTCACATGCTGAGCATTTTATCCTCAGAGCATCCGAGAGGTCAGTACTATTGTCCCCATTTCACAGAGAGATTAGTCTGCTTATTCCCGTTCACAGTATGTATTTGAGCAGGCAGATGGGTAGGCAGAGGGGCCACAGGTGAGTGCTCTTACCTTCAGTGCTATTAGCAACCATGGGCACTGTTCTTATACAACCTTTGGAAGGTTAGTGATGTTCACGTCATTTTTGAGAGACAGGGCAGGCTCGGAGAGGTGAATTGACTTACCAATACTGTGAAGCAGCAGGGCTGAGCTGCCAGACGAGGTCTGGCTTCCCTTAAACCCAGTGTTCTTACCTATTCTTCAGCCAGCCCTCCTGGGCTCTGAGGGTTCCCTGTACCTT